TCGGACTCAATGATCTATTGAGGTCCCTTCCGACCCTAACATCTATGAATCTATGAATCTATGAAACATAGATTAGACAGAAAATCAACAAATGAAGACCTGGCAGTGATGGAACAATAACTGAACATACATACGTGAGATTATATCAAATAAAATACAATGCATAAAGATAACCAATACAATGAATTCAGGTACTGAGTTGGGGTTGCACTAGCAGGCCCTACTAGGAGGCTAAATAAAAGAATTTATAATCTTGTCATAATACAACATTAAAGGACGCAAGTTTACAGTGAAAATCCCAACAATACAAGGAACCAGAACACAACGACACAGCAACTGTGCCGTAAGAAGAAATGATCCGAGGAAAGGAACCCATTACCTTAAGGGAACACCATCACCCTCCCCTAGGTCACACGACTAAGAGGGGCCCCGTAACCACAAAGCCACCTTTAATAAACGAGGCCCTTAACTTCTCTCTCCACGTAAAAGGGGTCGTCCCCCTCCCCGTCACAGGGTTCCCCTTTAATTACCCAAATGGGGAGGGCTGCTTCTTCCCTGTGGAAATCCCCTTCTCTTCCCCTCCTGGGAACTGAAATCCCCTTCCCGGGTGACTCACAGCTCCCAGCAGTTCTGGTGGGCTGGGCTCGTCTCTGTCAGTGGGTTGGATGCGGAGGGCTTCCTTCTTCACTAGGATGGTTGGCCCATCCAGTTGCTGTTTGCTGCAGGAAGGCCCGAGTTGCCTTGTGCAGCAACTGGGCCTGTCAGCCCTCTCAGCCCCATACACCGCCCTGTGCTCCGAAGGGGCACCTGCCTCATGCAGGGATGGGGACCCATGCTGCCTTGTGCAGCTGTGGCATGCCATCAGCTCTGTTAAGCTCTCTCAGCCCTGCGCACCCTGCCTTGTGCAGGGTTGGGGACCCATGCTGCCTCGTGCAGCTGCAGGGGTCCCTTCAGTTCTACCCACCGTGTGCACCACAAGCTCCTGCCTCATGCAGGGATGGGGACCCATGCTGCCTTGTGTAGCCACAGGGGTCCCTTCAGCTCTCCGGACCCTCTGTGCACTGACCCGTGCACCGATGCCGCGGCTCCCTGCATCATGGGGCTGGGAGCAGCCGCTTGCTGTCCCCAACTTGGCAAAGGTGTCTTCAGAGTGCTTCTGGGGCAACTACTTCGCCCCACTCATCAGCTCCGCCAGCTCTTCTGCAACCCTTCTTCATCATCGCTCATCAAAGCTGCCCATTTGCTGGGCAAACAGACTTTTATCCCTTCTGCAGGCTCCACACCCAGATTGGAAATGAACCAGTGGGAAAGCCGGAGTTACTTCCCCCTCAGGTTCTCTTCTTCACTCCATCCCTAGGTCAGTGCGGGGCAAGCCTTTCTCCTGCCTTCTCCTGCTTGGTGGGGAAGGAAAATGCCCCCACCAAATCGGCCTAAGCCATCTGGCTCAAGCCATGAAACCGGGCTGCCGCCGGCCAGCCTGCCGCACCTATTTGAAATCTCTGGGTTTATTTTGGAACTTGCTTGCACACCTCCCAGTGCTAACATTGTGCAGCACCTTGCAGCACCTTTAAAAGGATCTCAAGGCACCCTGGTTGAGAATCACTGTGCTAGAGTTAGGGATGGAAACATTTGCTATGTTTGACTGACGCCTGAAGGGCAGAGCAAAAGAGAGAATGGACTGCTGTTAAAAACCAGAAGATTTGGGTACCTTGGGTCATGCATTTTATTCCGATGCTTACATAGATTTTTTTAATATTTTGACAATAAAAGCCTGAAAAGACTTTTATAACCTGACCTTTCTGTGCAGTGTATTATCAGCTAATAAAGAGCTGTCCATATGCTGTGGTTACCCTGGAAGCAGGCTGATTGACACTTTTGTTATTCCTCATATACAATCAAAGGAGGGAGACATTTTGTAAGTTCAGTAACTTTACAACAGTTATTTTTCAAAATACCAAATTATGCATCACCCTTTTATGTTGTAAATGTATATCAGAGAGCTAAAGACAGAAAATAATTGAACTCAGCAATTATAATCTCAGGTATCATCTGTGGATTCCAAACTGAACAGCTACGAGCAACAGTACACTACATGGAGGATTAAATAGTTTTAGGGCTAATATCAGTATTTCACTCAATTGAATAAATGTGCTCAAATTTACCTTTCTCTTAGAATTTCTGAAGAAGCCACCAAAAGTTTTGCAGACTATTTCTAGCAGATGTACATGAAGGCCTGTATATCACAGTAGTACAGACATCTTCCCATTGATCTGCAAAATAAAATGTGAATGCAGTACTCTTTCGGGATGTTATCAGCAGCTGCCACCTGCTTAATCTTGCTAGCTCTCTACACTCTTGTAGTCTAAAGGACAAACTCTGACAAGTGCAGAGAACTAGTGTTAGTTATTAAAGCAAACTCCAATGCTGGGCGCCATCATTCTTTGCAAATGCTTAGTTTGTACATATAGAGCCCCTCTGAGGTAGAGGTATTACCATCCCCACTCTACAGTTTATAAAAGTAAAGTTTAGACAAAGCCCCAATTCTGTTCAAAGAGAAATGAATGGCAAAACTCCCACTGACTTCCAAAGTACAGTATCAGCCCCTGAATGATATGCTTGTGGCCACATTATAGATCTGTGGCACAGCAGGGAATTAAGCCAGTACTTCCCAAC